GTCCCGACGGGCCCGAAACGAAGACCAGGGGCGCGCCGCCACCACAGACCGGGCCGCAGGCTGACGGGGACCGGCGGAGACAGATGCCGCGGTCCCAGCTTTCGCCTGTGCTCTACCTCAAGGACCGAAGGCCGGCGAAGAAGACGCGGGGTGGTGGGGGAGAGGCAGACACACCTGGCGGGGACCCTCAGCGACCGGTTCCTGTGTTAGCGCGACGCCCGTCGGACGCTCCCAGCATTCGCCGCCGCCCCTCCTCCAGCCCCAGGGCCACCTCCACGTTCCGCTCCAACGTGGCAGCCGCAGCCCCTCCCTGCCGGCTGGCCGACGCTTCCGGGAGCGACGCCTCGCCCGGCCCACTCTGGCGCGCTGCCCGTCACGGCACTTCCGGGAGCGAAGGCAGGCAGAGTCCCGGGCGCGGGGCCCGCGGTGAGGCCGGCGGGGACCTGCGCGCCTGTGGGGCTGGCGACCCGTTGTGAAGAGCGAGGGTGCGATGACCCGGGCACTCGAAAAAGAAAAGTCCTGCTGGGTGTAGCTGTCTGCTCGAAGAACGGCCGAGGCCCGCAGGAACGCCACGTAGCGTTAGTCCTGTGAGGCGTGGGCAACACCGCCAACACCGGACAAATCACGTGAAAACGAGCTGTAGGGCCCTAATTGCAGTAACTAATTTGTGATTGGGTTTTTAAAATTGCACAGTTGGTTCAGGGTATTGCGTTTTGAGAACTTCTTTAAAAACCAAATGGTCTGGTCAGAGTCTGTTGTGGGGACGCCTGGGTGACTCAGTGGGTTAAGCTCGTCTGCTTTTGGTTCAGGTCATGATCCCTGGGATCGAGCCCTATATTGGGCTCCCAGCTCAGCGGGGTCTGCTTCTTCCTCTGCTTGTGCTCTCTTAAATGAATAAATAAAACTAAAAAAAATGAAGTCTGTTATGGACATATTTACTTTGTTACTCCAAAGGGGCATAGTGGAGTCAAGTAGTCCAGTTACCATCGTATGGTACTACTTGAGATCTACTAAGGTTTGCCCTTGGTCACTGGAACTTTACTAGCTCCGCCAGACCCTGGCATTTAATTAATGTATTGCCTGGATGTCGTCTTTAGTTTAGGGGTTGTTCTGCAGCATAGAAAGTAAAACCAGAGGAAAAGCACTTAGTATTACTAATGATCAGAACCTGGACCAAACCCAGATCTACTAGAGCAGTTCTCTTTCCATTACACTGATCAACATTATCTCCTCAGGCCTTCTCTAAAGCGCCTTCACTTCTAAGTACTAGAGAGTAGGATTTTTGCACTCTTTTGAACACCCTTTTAATTTGAAAAGCCGAGTTTATTTTTCTAGGACAGAAATAGATTAAACGGATTACTTAGGTTACAATAGCTAACTTCTAGTGTTCTACAAAGCCATTTCTACCTACAGCTTTTACCTAAAGGTTGCCAATAAAAAATCCGACTTAAAAGTGGGCCTATCATTTGAGTCAAGAGGAAACATCCAGGGGCGCCTGGGTGGCTCAGTTGGTTAAGCAACTGCCTTCGGCTCAGGTCATGATCCTGGAGTCCCGGGATCGAGTCCCGCATCGGGCTCC